GAAATTTCCTTTGGGTTGCGACCAATTCGGGTTGCAGCCAGAGTCACGGAATGAATTAAGTTCGTAAACCGAGGTTCCACTGTACTTCCTTGTGCACATCAATCTACAAACACAAACAGATGTAACACAAGAGGGCAGTGCACACATGCACACACAGAGGTAACACATTACTTTGTTACACAGAAGAAAACTCAGATAATTCTCATTGCCACGACCAGTAAACAGTTTGGAAAGAATTCCAGATGCCAGAGATAAACTTTTAAAAAGCCAGCATTACAAAATTAAACATAAATTAAAACATAAACCAGCAAATAAAAAAAAAAGAATAGAAAAAAATTAACTGAAACTTGTAAGTTGGGAATGCAGAACTGTTAACACAGACATAATGGAGCAGAATACAGAGATTAATTATCAACATCTAATATATTTACCCAAAATGACATCTGTGCGTAATGGGAGCAATATACCAGGAAAATGCATATTATCACAGCTAATAAATGGTGTCCAAATCTGACTAAATTTATTCTTCATTATGGCACTTTTCAAACATTGTTGTTGTTGACTGAATTCTTGTGCCAAAATAATTTTGCACACTTTAAAATACCATTGATCTAGTGGCAATTATGCTCTGGTTTTATAATGTTTTCCAATAACAAATCAAGCTGCTAACAAGAGGGCCTAAATCAATGTTTTTGCAACATTTTTTAGCTGCTGTAGGACATAAAGATAATAATCCTGCTGTGAGATTCATCTTAAACAGCTTGTCTGTGCTTTTTTCAATTTCATCAAAAACCAGTTGGGCACTGCCACCAAAAATAAAACAAGTCCCATTTTGTTTATATTCCTACCAACCCAATTTAGACAGATTGTGATTAATGTATTACACAATTAATCACAATTAAAGGAGTAATAATTAAAGGAGTAATCCCCAGAGGAATTATTTTTGATGTCATTTCTTGATAACACACTGACATGGATTAAAAGGAATTATACCCCATAAAGAGTTCCATGCAGATTCATTGTTCAAAATCAAATTCTGTTCACAACATTTTTAAAGGCTTCCCAAAGAGCCTTTTGTAATCGATATGAACCCATTATATAAAACAGATGAGATTCTTTACTATTAAACAAATTAGAGATGCATCATTTCTCAAACTTTTAATGAGCTGAACTGAGATGACCTATATGATTCTTTAAGAAACATAATACTTGGTTTAGTTGAAAAGGAGTCGGATCTTGTTTCTATTCCCTTTACTGTAACCTAATTAATAATCTAATTATAGAGAATAAAGTTATCACCACTGAATACAATAAACATTCAGTGGTGATAACTTTATTTTCTATAATTAGGCTACTAACGTAATCAACTCCTCTATTCTCCATTCCTTGAACTGAGCAAACTTATTCTCATACCTGAATAGTGGATGGGAATCAGATTAGAGACCAAACCATATTTCCATTCTACTGAAATGTCTACGGACAGTTTAAAATATGAGTTCATAATATTTTTTTTAACATCCAAATGAAATATATAGCTCAGACTGAAGGAGAATCAAGTGCCAGTTCAACTGATACCACAGTCCATTTTTAACCTTCCTATGAATTGTGTGAACTGAAACAAATTAAAAAAAACATTTTTTTCAGATTTGATATCCCTAGACCTCCTTTTTGATTTTGTTTATATTGGGTAGCTTATCTGATTCTAGGACTCTTATAAGGATGCACTGAAGACGACAATGTTCCTTATATTTTACCAACCAGTGGGCACTGATCCTGAAAGTGTTTGAAAAAGAAGCATTTTTGGAAGAGTGATTTCACCACTGTATTCATGATAACCACGCAAGGGGGAGCAATCCCGTGTAATGCTTAAGGTGCCAACCTAGCAGTGGAGAAATCCAAGTTTTAATCTACCCTCAACCATGCAAGCTCCCTGGGTGGTTTTGTGCCAGGCCCTCTCTCACAGCCCAAGAACTGATGTGGGGCAATGGTGAAAGTGCTGGACTAGGAGTGGGGAGAGCCAGGTTCTAAC